GATATAAAAGTATTAATCTTAATTATAGACAAATCATCATTGTGTGTTAAGAAGCCTGGTATAATTTGTAAGAAAGAAGGCTTTTATACTGTCAGGGATTTTTGTTGATGTATCATTAATCATTCCACGGTTTTTTACGGATAAATTACATCACTACAGTGGCTTATACAAAAAAAGACGGTAATATCGCTGAGCAAACCGATGTTTGATTGAAATGCCTATAATATGTTTGCTCTGACGGACATTAACACAGCTTAGTTGTAATTTTCTTAATTGACCAATATAATTGGAAACGATGACTTATTTGTTGCACGGACAAAGGCTCGTGTCATATTTGACATTGTGTCTAAATTCGTGAAAATATATATAAGAAGAAGAAGGTGAAGTGATACCATAAAACATAGAATATCCGACATTGTTGATAGTTTATTGTCGGTTATTTTGACAAGATATGAGAGGTCATTCACGCCAATAGACTTAAATTATCACGCAACAAAGACAAGAGTATAAGGCGGTACACCATGTACAGAAATATGATACTTTTAAAACATACTTCTAACCAACTTGAATGAAAAAATAATTCACTTATGATAAGGCTTACAACTGCTGTGTTTTTAGATAAACAAATGAAAGTAAATATTCCAAATAAAAATGTTCAAATAATTTCTTTAACATAAACAAGTAATTTGATTGACCAATCCGCATACAAAAAGTATAGATAGGTTGTTTGAAAGGTGTGAACTTTTATGTTAATCTAATCATATTATGACTATTCTATATTGAAACATTGTAAGTATAATTCAATGTACTAGACTAAATATCATGTACAATGTAAATAAAGTCAATGTCCTTCATTGCACAAGTGCACAAAGCTTTTAAAGTTCAAAGCTTCCATACAGCCGGCAATTTTTCAAAATTTATGCATCTATAAACAGCTTAGAAAGCTGCGTAATATACACTAATGTACACGTAGATAGTTTAATATCAAGTTTAAACTAAAGAATACTGCCTCATTTTTATTCCGAAACTGTAAAAATACTCTCCTATAATTATGTTTGACAATATGTTATTCTATCTTTAAATGCTCAAAAGGTTACAGCAGTTATGAATTACTTTCATTGAATTCAATCTTCACATCTTCTATATTTTAATAAATTATTCAAACAATTTAGATGAAATCTTTGCTGTATGTCGCCGACAAAGGTTACATTAATGTTTTATTGTTCAGCTAGATATATTTCTATCTGCTGCATTTTAACAATCCCATTTTCTGTCAGAATGCAGCAGACGACTGGATTTGAAATTAATATTTCATAGGACATCCATATACGGCGGCGTTTATATAAATGATTTCCGCAAATCTCAATAGATTTGCTAAAAAGGGAAAGCACTTATACACGAGAACGTTAGAGAGAGTGTACCATGTGTATAGCATATGTACATTTAATTGTATTACCCATTTATTTGGTCATTTATGTGCACAAAGAAGAACCTTGCACATAGAATAAAAAATAACAAACCCATATCAACTCAATCAAAATATATAAAACAACAACATCAACAAGAACATCAGAAAAAAGGTTATATTCTTCAAAAATGTTGCACCCTGTAAACCTCATTATGACATAATAATTATTCAGTATCTTAAATATCTGCCAAGAATATAATGACTCAATCTGTTAGAATTCAGCAAGTTTAGATGTTCTGATAATAGGAAAATGCAATGTAAACTTTTATAATTTCTATATAGGAATAGATTATTAAAGTTGTGTTGCTATATATCGTTTTAATAAAATGATATTAGATTTAATATTTGTTGATATTGTTTCTGTCTTAATCAAACAATGTTAAGAATCCGGTTCAATTTTCGGTGAATTTATTAACGCAAACATAAAAATAGAAATCTAAAACGTTGAGTTTTATTCATTACACGTATTTGAATTCCAAGCTCTATTCCCTAGTTATTTATTCTATGTTTTCTCTTGTTCTTTTAAAACCTAAACGTTGAAATAAAAACATTACGGAATTATGTATCTATCTCTTTAATGACATGATTTTAAGCAAAGCCGTTATACATGTGTTCCTTATTAAACATTCTCCATACATTTAGTATATAACAAGTGTTTTCTTTCAATTAAACATAAACATTTTAATTCATTTTTGTAAATATATAATTAGAACAAAAAAGGGAGCAAAAAATATAAAAACAAATGAAAGATAAACGTTAACTTTAAATAGGACTATTTTAAAGTGATAATTTTGTGGACATTGCTTTAATTGCTGACTGTTGTGCTTCAAACAATTAGGGCTCGTGGTGCTTAGATCTTGCTATACTGATATATAAAATCAGGTGCTAAATGACATTTTCTAAGTGGCAATATAACTGTTGGAAAATGCTAGTAACTAACTTTCGGTACCAGCAGGGAAAGTGTTAAATTGTTAGTATTCATATGTATAAAAATATAACTCGTTGGAGAAAAGATAAGAGTTAAAAACTTTGATTTATCACAATAAAATACTCTTAATTGAAAAGTTAAATGTGTTTCTTAATGGGTGAAAAGATAAATCTGGCGAAATATACAATATTAGTTTCCATAACATCAGTGTTGCTTGATATAAGTATTATTAAACGGGGTAAAAAACGTTCACTATCAAAACATTCCATTGTTATTTCAAAGTGGGCAGCGGTGAATTAACGATGCACTGCACATCTTTTTGGAAATATAAAAAAAACATTTTATTCTTAGTTCTCATAATTTATAATGATGTTGACAGTAATTTGTTGAATATATCATTTATAAACGAAAGCAAAATATTTGAGATATAACAATTGCAGTCTTCTCTTTAAAGCAATATAACTGAAGTTATGTATATCGGTGGTATCAAAACGGCATCTTCGCATTTTTATATCATATTAAAAGATGTTAATTATGGAATTCAAGTCTAAATATGTACGAATTCAGTAGCATATCTTTAAAGTGATATTCATTTTTGTTCTCATTATTTCTGTGTTTGAACATACACCATGTCAATCATAATGCCCATAGGTTGAAAAGTCTTACCCGTTATATAAGTAGAAATTTTCACATGAAGCAAGTGAGTTGATACACAGAAGTTGTATCATGAAATTCTAATATTTAACATTTTAACAGATATAACTGCTCTGTTCATTTTGTTATCTAGTACGGGATATTCTTCTACACGTTATTTTCCTTCAGCATATGGTTGTAAGTCTTTTATTACGTTATCTTAAAATGTTTTTAATATATATACATATTAGCTCACATTATACCTTACTTCTAAAACATACTGTTTATAAGAGATTCTACAACAGCGCACAATAAATGAAGAGCAAAACAATTCCTAAAAAGGCTAACATTCAAATTAATAAAAGTTGCAGGCTCAGTTTGTTTGAACATGTTCATTGGCGGTATTTAAAAGGGCAAGCTACCGTATACGCCCCTAGCACCGGCTTAAGCAAAATTAAACATTTAATATGAAATAGCAAAACTCTGCATGTTTTCATTATATCAGAAGATATGTAAAAAAGTGCGTCATTATTCGAATCATTAAGTTGCTTCATTTATATTGTTTGAAATAATAATTACAACATTTTTTTTGACAAAATAAATATAAATAAATCAAATCGCATCTAAAATATCATGGTAAAAATATCAGTTTTAGCTTTACTGTTATTCAATTCATTATATTTCAAGAATTACAATTGTTTGCAGGTATAAAGAACATGTTTTTTAACAAAAGCACTTATAAATGAAATACGTATTTCTTAAATATGAATTTGTAATCTTTAAATATCCCGTTATATCCAGCATACTGATCATTTGATTGTAAGCTCGGTGAAAATAGTTTTGAACATGTACTGACAAATGAAATAAAAAACGTTGAGATAAAAACACAAGGAAAATGTATTACCTATTACGAAACAATACCTATATCCAATTCAGACAGCACGCACCTCCAATTTAATTTAAATAACTTTTAGATTTTCTATTAAATTTCATACTTGTTCACATTATACCACATTTCTGACTGCTTCTTGAAAATACACTCACGTTTATTCTTTTCCTTTTTCCTTATATCTGGTTCTTCAATTGACAAATTTATATAATTCCGTACAATTTGCTTCAATTACAGTATCTATTATATAAAAGTAAGATCAGTGAGTGTTATTTGATAACTAGCTTCATGAATTAGGTTTCACAGAAAGCTGACAAAATAAGTCACCCGTCTATGACAATATCAAGTTGTCAAAAACAGTCATAATATACTATTGGCAGGAGTGGTGCGATATATGGTGAACGTGATGTTAGATAATTGAAATATGACTAAATATGTTCATACCTTAACACGCTTCTCATTATTTTGACGTTTTTGGCGTCTGTTCATGAGAGTTAAGCAAAGGTGCAATATTTGAGCTGCGTCATGACAAAACCAACATAATGGGTTTGCGACCAGCATGGATCCAGACCAGCTTGCGCATCCGCGAATTCTGATCAGGATCATGCTGTTCGCTATCAGTTTCTCTACTTGTTATAGAGTCGGAAAGCGAACAGCATGGATCCTGGTGAGACTGCGCGGATGCGATCCATGCTGGTCGCAAAAACACTATGTTGGGTTTGTAGTGACGCAGCTCATTTCTTGTTTATCTAGCACTGATTTAGCCGTATTCAATTTTTAGTCTGCTTTAATATTGAACCCACTGGTCACGAAGGACAATAACAGTGTACCAATAATGACATAAATTGTGGGACATAACCCTTAGCACATAAATTTCTACAGCAATGAACTCATTAAATCATTATGTAATAGGGCCTTTAAGTTAGTGTATGTTGCACGGTACATACATGACCGCCGTGCATATTAACATTGCATGTTGTAAGTGAAAATCTGAATAAGTATAGATTGAGGACTTGCATGTTAAAAGAATAAATCATTTTGATATATATATATATACTCGTATATACATTTTTATAACTTACAATCTATTTCAGGTTTCGTCCTCCAAAAGTCAACATTCCTGCAATTTATAAAAAAGATGTTTTTAATTAATTTCATAAAGGAAATGATATTTAGCAACGAGAACAAATAAGATGTAAAAAAGGTTAAATGTCGATAACTTTGGAAAATTAACAGTAAAATGTGTCGATGTTTTATGAAATATTAGAAAATAGGTTATTTCGTATATCTTGCGATCTTTCTGATGTTGCAATTGTGAACTACTTGACAAGTGTTTGGTTCTCGAGTGTCTGGGTCATACTGCATATTAAATTATTAATTGTTAAATAAGTATAGCAAACAAACAAAAATATAATAAATTATACCATACTACCCCTCCCCCCCCAAAAAAAAAAACAAAAAACAAAAAAAAACAACAACAAAAAAAACAACAACAATAACAACAAAAAAAAAACAACACCAAACAAAACTGTCAGATAGGATACTTTGATATTTAGCTAGTCTGCTATTTAATAAATTGAACCGATCTTATGCACTTTAAGCTACTCTGATTATATTGCTACAGAACTTGCTTCATTTAAATTATATTTGCATTTTGCTTCAAATAAATTGGTTGCTTGTATATACAGACAGATATTTCATTAATCGTTCCTTCACATTATACGATGAGAAACTATTACAGTTTATTACCAAACACGTGCTTTACATGTTTTAAAAAAAACTAAATAATTCTTAGAGTTTTATTGTTACTATCAAAAACCTTAGTAAGTGTTAATTTTTGTTACTAACAAAAACTTTTTTAAGTGTTATTAGGTATTTTTTTTTCGTTTGCATACAAAAAAAAATCAATTAAAAGTAACAATTCATTATAAATACATTGCGTATACATATTAAGCATTATTTTTTATCAAAAACTGCAATAGTGCACAAAAATATTGATTGTTAAAAAATACTGGATTTAAAAAAAGGAGTACATTACGATGTTAAAAACACATTTTAATATTATCAGGAGACTGATATTTGACATATTTTTATAGAAAAGAAGGTAAGGCCACTTTCTAACAGTGGTTTATATCTACACCATTTTTGAAATATGTTTGATAATTAAAATAGGATCCGAAATGATAAAGGGTAGCTATGTTCACACGCTCATTTTAGTCGCGTTATGATACGTGAATCTCCTTTGCCCCAAACACAATTTACAAAATTTAAAAATGATTGAACACTGAACAAATAGCAACTATAAATATTGAAAAAAGCTACTGTTTGTTTGCCTTTAAAAACAGGCATCATTTGCACACCACACAAAAGAAAGTATGAACAAATATGAAATCAAGTGTCTTACAATTTTCTCTCGTAAAGCATATGCAAATCAGTCCTTTGTGAATACAAAAACAGACAGATAAGAATCCCGAAGACTGTCTCATAAATAAACATGCCTATCAGAATGTACAGTTTTAACTAGAAGGATCTAGACCAAACTTCCGACGCTGTTCAATCTATAAGCCTCGGTATGCATAATGTTTCAAACATCTATAGAAAAACTGATGAGTATTTTAGAGCTATTATTGAACCTATTCTATCAAAAGACAAGTTTACATATGTGTGATATTTTCCTACACATTATCGTGATTTAACCATAGCATAGCATAGCATAGCATGACATGGCATTGCATAGCATAGCATAGCATAAAATAGAATTAAAGCATAGCGCAGCACAGCAAACTTTTAAAAACTATAATTACTAGGCGAAATGATGTATGAAATTTGTCCTGTCATCGAAATGTTTACATCTTTACCAATAAAACTTCCACTGTAAGTTTTCCAAAAAAGTGAAAAGGTCAATTCTGATTTTGTCAATCTTGGGTAGTACAATGTAAGTAAATGGTACATCAATTAACAACACAAGAATGTGGAATAAAGCATGCAATGTTGAAGGTTATGGGGTAGCAAAGAAAAATGACAAAAAATGACCTTTGTGAAAGTACAAAAGTAAAAACAAGTTCGAAAGAAAAAAGAAACAATGTTATGAATTTGTTTCATTTATGAGTTGAAATTTATGTCATTTTGCCCTGAATTGATTAAAAGTCACTTTTTTCGTTTCTGTTTGTACATTTTCATATCAAGTTACATTGTATATATCTACCGTGAAACTGCAGCTATTCTTTTTTCTGTAAAAAATGTTCATAAAGGATTATTCAGTTTAATCCATAAAAATCATTTAAATAAGTTTAATCTGTCAAAAACATTTAACGTGAAAAGAAAAAAAGATCCATGCATCGGTTATTTTTATTAATCTTATTGAATTATACAATTTGATATAAAAGTTTCGTAGTCGTTTTCACTCTCATACACATTTGTTTACATTCCAGTTTATTTTATCCAACTTCTTTTGAACTGACATAAAAATTTCAAATTGTCTTAATAATTGTAAAAGCCTGTTTTCTCCTTTAATTGCTGAATAAAAAGAAATCCCTGCTCAGCAATAGTTAGAGGTCATTGTACTCTCCATTATAAGTATAACGTTTCTGTTTTAGATCTGTTATGTTTTGTTTGTCTTAACAAATAAATAATGCATGTTGATGCGTGCTTATATGTTATTGAACTTTCCTTTCCGTAGATCTAATGCATTACATGCCATGATAAAAAACTGCCTTATTTGCACCTGCTCTTGAAGTACATTTGTGCACGGTTTGTATATCTGTTAGAGCAAAAGGTCCAAACTTTCAGCCTATTGTCGTAATTAATTAATTACAATTGTGGACGCTACTAATTCTTTTGAAGGTATTTCAATAAAGGTAAATACTTTGATACTAACAAGTTATAAACGGAATGGTATAATACTGGAACGCAAGATTTATAATTCAAAGAAAAGATCGAATGAAGCTGTACTTAAAATGTCACGCATCTCTCATTTCACTTTCAAATTTATATGATTTATTGCTAGTTATTCAACTGCAGGAAAAGCTGAACTATGATTTTAAGCAGTTTATATCGTTCATTGGTGTTACCGTTTCTTTATGCGGCACTGACATACGATTTAGGACATTTTGTCTGTCACAAGCAATCATTTTGCAGAGAAACCGACGTAAGATTTCTCGGAAATTATCTTGTGACAGCGACTTCTTGTTAAAGTTAATGACTAAAGACTGTCAGGCAGCCTTGCTTCGCTGACATAATGTGATAAATGAGCACGTTGTTTGCTGCTTTGTGTCTCCATCAATCATTCCAAGCTGTAATGGTCGTATAAATCAACATTTAGTCACATTTTGTGCCTATAAAAACACTTTCACGTGAAACACAATCACTTGCATGTAATTATATATGGTGTACAGTTAAAAAACAACACAAGACGCAGGAACAAAATTACATAAGTTCAGACAATATTTCAGAGTTTTAATCAGCAGAAATAAAAGTAGGTTTTCTTGGTCTCAACTCTTTCTCTGCTGAATTTGTGAAATAGATTTGCTCGGCTTTAAGTTTGGAACTAAGAGGTTTCAAGACATGTATATCAAACTACGTAAAAGCTACTAACAGTGCAGATTTAACAGTGCAGTACCTGGTCAGTCTGCACTGTTGTATCTTTATTGATGTCAATCCTTCTCACTTCTACGGTTCCAGTATGATAAGGACTAATAAAACATTATACGAGAGGTGGTTCATATTTATTTCAACACTTTTTAATTTGATTAAATTATTCCATAATTTTTATTTCATTGCAACAACTGTTCAATTTGTGAACCTTGAGCATAGCAGATCATTCTACATCACCTTGGCCAACTTGCAAGAGTCTTATGAATGGTAGATTGCTCCAGTTTCTGCCATTCCGGTTTCAACGCTTTTTAGCCCACTCAAAGTGTATATGTTTCGCTTTTGTAATCGGCGTTTTAGGATGCCACAGATTACTCCAAAGTCCATGGGTGCTGCATCAGGACTCTTTGGCATCCATTCTTCTTGGGTTACATATTTGACCTTACGTTCTTTAAAAACCCTTTTGTCTGGGCAGCTGTATGGCTCGAAACACTGTCCTGATGGAATACAATTACCTTTTCACGATCAAGAAACAAACGCGAAACGTCTTTTTTCATACATGGCTTACATAGTAGCCTGCATTAACTTTAACACCTTTATTTATGATTTGCAAGGACGTCTTGCCGGAAACTAACTCCTACCCATACCATAAACTTTGGTGCAAACGAATCTTGCTTAATAAACTTAAGATTTTTGTCTGTCTGTCTCGTTTTCTCTTACATAGCAAACACACCTTCGACCAGAGCTACCAGAATATGTATAGAATGTTGACGCATAAAGTTTAACGTAATACATATATAGGTATAAAATATACAGATGTTTGGTAAGACGATTAAACTAGTTTTTGGTAAGTTGAAATGACAAGTATTTTTGATAGACGAATTACAAGGTTTATTTTTTGTATGTTATAACATTTGAAAAAACCTCGAAATGGTTTAAAGTCTTAAGTTTGCAAAAGCGACACAAGTTAAAAAAGAAATAAAAACATTGACAGCAAAAAGTAACGCAAGGAGAAGTAAGTATATGCAAATCTATTTTTATGATATGTGACATAAAATAAGCATGTTTACCTATGACAATATATTTATAATAACAGTTGTTATATCACTATTGATTTTTCCGTCAGTAACCTAAATATTAAGGATAAATATGATATCAAATTAACAAATTGATTAACACATTATTGTAATACTATACGAAGAACAAGCATTTCGTCAATAAAACATAATTCTTTCCCATAAAATGTATAATAAAAATAACGATTCAGCAAAATCTAGACACAATATTAAATCCTATACAAAACGAATGTTTACAGACGCCCTAGTGTACAGACACAGTTTTGCTATTTTTGTAATGGTGATAATGCGTATTTTGTTTCCTCTTATCAAGTCTTATAGAAGGATCAACAGCTATCATTTTACGGAGACGGTTGTTGTCACCCTCTTTCATTGCGGATATAAGTGGTCTTAAGACAAGATAAAATGTTGTTGCAATCAAGAAGGCTCTTTCTGTGGATCCACGCTAACACAT